CTGTCATGTGATTAAAAGGAACCACAAAGCTTTTATTTGTGGTTCTCAGGTTAATGTTCCTCTCATTTCTCACTGAGCTCCTGCTCTGAGATGATGTCAGAGACACTTTGAGGCTCTTCTGTTGCCAGGTTTTGTCCCCGTCTCTGTGTTGGATTACGTTTTCCAGTGAGCGCAGAGGCCGGTAACCCGAGACCCTGTAGACAGACCTACATTAGGCCCGGCAGGGTGTCGTCTTCTCTGCCAGAACGTGGGGTAATCCCAGGTGATTGTAGACTCGCAGCTCCAGCTCGAAGCCCAGTGGTTGAGCATGTTGTCCATCACAGATGTGATGCTGATCCTGTACCAGGGAAAAAGCATGAAAAGGTGAAGCTGGAACGTTTTCTTGGTGTCACTGGTGAGGCGGACACAGAATCTACTTTTTGAGCAGACAGTCTCATTTTGGAGGATTTACTCCAAGAAGAGAAGCCCATGCCTGCCCACTGAGGCTGTGGGATCTGTTTGGACCACAGTTGGAATAAATTGAAGTTTTCTGCAATTATGCCGTCATTTTGTGGTAACGTGAGGAGGGGTATCCTGAGGAGATACAGGCAGGTGCCTCGAACCGAGGCTGACGGAGCCTTCAGCTACAACCGCTCCTCAAACAGACGAGGCCTCGTGAGCTCCGGTAGGTCAAACTCGACCCCACGTTTGTTTTTTTTTCTATTTAACCAACATTTTCAAACTCTTCTGTTTAAAAAGTTTAATGATCATTAAACTTTTCTGAAGTAAAGAAAAATAAAGTACTAAACTAGATGAGAAGGACAAACGCGACGCTTCAGTTCAGTATAAAATTTTAATCACAGTCTGGTTGGTTTCTCATTAAAATGAGACACAGATATGAGACTCAATGTGACAAACGAGCAGAAAATCTCAGAGCAACAGTTTCAGAAATCTGAGTTTATCGTGCTTACCTCTGCAGCTCTGTGATCCTCCTGCTTTAGCTTCTTATTTTCACTTCACATAAAAATGCAAACCATAATATTTGATTAATCAAACACGTGCAGCTCTGTGCTGGGCTGGATATCAACCAAGAAAAATGATGTTAGTACTCAGGTGTTGCTCGGGGGCAAAGCAACTGTCTGATGACAAATCTCTACCCAACATGCAACTGTGATTAAAGCACGTGCTACAAGCTATTTAGACCCACTGCAGACAGAAGTGGATTCAGACGTTTAGTGGCGATTCATGCTTCGCTGCATGACTCCAGCGGTTTGTCAGGACGTGTTAACCAACGTCCGTCCGCCTTTGTGTTCGTCGCTGCAGGATGATGGATTCCATCCTCTGTAATGGCCTCTCCTCAGCCCGCTCACTTTGTTGTGCGTGTTTGTAATTTATTTGTGTGTTTGAACGACCACCACGGTCTCTCCGTCTGAAGCCCGCAGCAGTCGCGCAGCCTTCTCTGCAGCGCAATGCTTGAATTGATGCATCGCCTCTATTATGGCGCTGAAGTCACGATGCTCGAAACCAGAATTAGTTTTAATGTAATTTAAAGCTGCTGTCGTTCATTTTCTGCTGTTGGTGCCTCCATACAGACGAGCTGAGCGGGGCTGAAGGCGGTCCAGGAAACGCAGTGAGATGGTAAACTGATCAAAAAAGGATCACAGCTCAAAATACAAGGCGAAGAGGACCGAATGTTAAAGGAAGCATTAGAGCTGTCAAGAGACAGACGGCTTGGCAAAGAGGAAGCTGAGCACCGGAGCCCGGGTGCACTCGATTAGTCCAAAATTTGACCTCTGCCTCCTTTTCCTTGACCTCAGTGTAGTCAGAAGGTAGAGGAATACCGATGGTGCTCAGAGAATCTGACTGACGATACTTCACTCAGTTAGGAACCTTCCTCAGTGAAACTGACTTTTTAAATACACCCCTGAAGGTCTCTGAGGGCGGAGCTAGCGGGATTATATGATAACTGCACATGTGCCTTGAGCCTCTCTTTAAACTAGTCCTTTAAAGGTCGATGCATTTTCACCCTGAGCTGCTGCGGACGCTGGAATGAGAGGCGAGTTAACGAGGATGGAAACAGAAAGCTGTCACACCACCTCCCCCCTCTGCAGCGCCGTGTTTGGCCCGATCCATCTGCTGTCCCTGAACGCCTCGCGCAGGATGAGCCGTGGCCTCCCAGGTGTTTCCACTTCATCCTCAACGTCTACAAACACACACGCTGTGTCTCTGCAAGAGCCCAGCATGTGCGCGTTTACATTCATGCGTCTTCACCTTTTCAAGCGTGAAGGCTGTAAATAAGCCGTGTATAAGATGACTGCAGCGAGAGGCACAAACGCAATGTTTAATCTGAAGAAGCTTCTGATTTTACTCATTCTAGAGGCCCAACTGTTGATGTGCAACACTGTGATGGACATGAAAGTCGTGTCAGCTGACGGTCACAATAACGAGGCCAAAACTTTGGTTAAGACATGAAAACGAAGATTTAAGTCAGAATTAGCAAAGCAGGGACGTGCACACGCTCATGGCTGTGAACAACGTGACTTTGTCAGAGTCTCTGTGTCGCGCTTACAGGTGTAGAGCGTCGGAGCTGAATTCCATTAAAGCCGACGAGTTGCACTAACAGACGGCCGCTCCCCCCGCCGCCCTAATGTGGCAGGCAATTGTAGGATCTGTAATGAATGCTTTAAAGTGGCGGCAGGTTGTTGATACAAGCCTTAATGAAGTTGGTAATCTGCAGGTTCCCCCGAGGACTGCTCTCTGGAGGTGTTGCAGTCACCTTCCATCTTATGAAGGGTGTCAGCAGCAGGGGCTCCTGGGAAATGATGTCCCAGGCCTGATCCCTGAAGTTAGTGTTCTGAGTCTGAGGAGGGAAGCGGAGGAATATGGAGAAAGTAGCATTTCTGCTTTTGTTTCCCATAATCTGCCTTTAAATGTTGGTATTCAGTGTAACAACTGAAAATAAAATTTAAAAAAATAAAATAAAATAAAAAAAATGTTGGTATTTAGTCAATAAATGGATTAGACACATCTTGGCAAAGTGTTATCCTGATGACACACCCACACCGCCACATCTGTCTCGCCGTCAGTCTGTGGAAACTTCTCCTTTTCAGGTTTTATCCATCCATCCATCCGCTTCCGCTTATCCTTTTCAGGGTCACGGGGGGCGCTGGAGCCTATCCCAGCTGTCATAGGGCGAGAGGCGGGGTACATCCTGGACAGGTCGCCAGTCACAGGGCTAACACACAGGGACAGACAACCATTCGCACTCACATTCACTCGCACATTCACTCCTAGTGGCAATTTGGATTATCCAATTAACCTATCCCCACAAGTTGCATGTCTTTGGACGTTGGGAGGAAGCCGTAGTACCCGGAGAGAACCCACGCAAACACGGGGAGAACATGCAAACTCCACAGAAAGGCCCCGGCCTGATGGTGGAATTTGCCACCGTGCTGCCCCCCCCCCCCCCCCCCCCCCTTTTTTTTTTTTCTTTCAGTTTTTATAGCACAGAAAATTAAAATTAAGGCAAAGTGTGAGAATGTGTTTTATTTACCTGTTTCTGGGAAAATGTTCCAACATCAGCAGCGTGAGGAGGCGTTGGTGCAGATGTTTTTGGAGCTGGATCTTCTGATAGTTGTGAGCCAGCTGCCCGCTCAAAGCATCGAGCTTGATTGATTTTTAAGAAATATCAATAAATGACGCCCGGCTTCATAAACTGTTTAAACGTTGCTTTGCAGCTGATGGATTTAAATTTAATTCTGGGAAGTGTTATTTGGTGTTTTGGACGATCATGTTTGGAGGATTTCTCTCCTTTCTTCTGATTCTCTGCATTTGGATTCAGCTTGAGCCAAATTACATGCTGTTAATTCCTTAATTGATTTTTGGTGGTTTCCAATAGTTTTTCAAATTTAGTCTGAAGTAAAAAAAACAACAACAACTACTCCTGCTTAGTCTCTCAGAATTAAGGTCAAGGTCTAAATTGTTATATTTGTATTATTTTAACACAATGTTACAGAACTGCTAAACATTTTTACTGCTTCCATAAACACCTTGCATTTATTAAACCTTTACAAATGCAGTGCTGTGTGAAACTCTTAAGCCAGCACTTCTGTGGTGAAAAAGCACCAATGTCCAAATCAGAACTCTGGAGCCTCAAAGTTTGGGGAACTGCTGCTCTCAACCATTTGATCATTTCCAGGAAGGAAACAAAGCATAAAGAATGAGTGGTGGCTCGAGTGTGCACAGTGCTGTTGTCCTTCTCATTTCAGAGTTGCTTCCCCTCGTACTAATGTTTTGCCTCATTGATCGACTGTCAGGGCAGCGCGGCGCTGCCGTGACCCCTCGGCTGTGGTCTGCTGCTCCTCTGAATGCAGAAACGCTGACATTTCACTGATGACACTTTGCACTGACGGTCGAGGTCATCAGTCAGGAAGAGCGTTCACAACTCTGTGTGCACGTGAAGTTTGAGGCCTGTCGGGACAGAAAGATGATAATGTTTCATGTTGCGTTAGGAGAATTACTGGATAATGTTAGGAAAGGACAAATTCTCACCTTGGATTTAACTGCTTAGAAAGAAATGGCCATAAAGTACGCAGTAGTTGAACACTGCATGAACTCGCCTGAGTCAGATGCCCCTCGTGAGGACTTCTTCGCCGCCGATCCTAGACTCTGATGACTCATCACTTTCATATTGACTCCCGGCCTGCTGCTTGTAATGCTAATTCATGTTGGTCAATACGAGGTGACCTATCAGAGCCAGCTCCTGACTCCAGAGTAAGTTTGGATTGTCTCAGGCGCTCGTCCATGAGTCACAGGAGGAAACGTGAATGTGTTTTACAGTCAGGTTCCATCGATCCAATTGAAAGCTCCACATTTCGTCCTCAGCTACTCTGACTTAAAAGGGTTACAAGCTCCATTTCTTGCCCCCAGTTTTCTGTTGTCTGTGAGGCATGAAGACAGCTGCTAATTACAGAAAGTTGGAGGTCAGGCTTCACTGATGGCCATTTCTGTCTTCGTTGCAGGAGTTTGCGGCTGCTGTGGGCCGCTGAGGCCGAGGTACAAACGCCTGGTGGACAACATCTTCCCTGAGGACCCCAAAGTAAGTACCTGCAAACACATTACATGTTTGTTGTCTCCCCTATAGGACATTTAATCTAATCAAATACACAAAGACTGGACCCAGGTGTGACGTGACCTCCGCTGCATAAAATCTACCATTAATGTGAAAATGTTTTACATCCAGATTAGTAAAGTATCAGATTTTTACCTTAACACAGCTGAAACAGCGCTCCTAAAGACCTTTACTAACATTAGTTTGTGCATTCATGTGTGAGGCCACGTGTCAGATTTGTTCTACTGATCCTTTATCTGTTGCTCTGGGGAAGCTGCGAGGGTTTCCCAACATCCTCCGCTGTGTTTTTATGGACTGAGAAGTTTGTGTCCTGCTGGCATTTGATCAGAAACGCTGTGGTACAAAAGACAAAGGAAGCAGAAAACCTTCAGACTGAGTCTGTTAGACAGAAGTCTGTAGCTTCCTCAGTGTGTTAGCACTGCGTCTGCTGCCCGGGTCTTATCACACCTTTGGGATTGCTGTGGAGACCCGGCGACACGCCCACCGACGAGCTTCATCGACACAACACGGAGATAATTGGTCGACCGCAGAGCCACGCATGAACGCTTCAGACTTTGATAATTCTGCCAGTTAAATGTGACGTGGCTTTGATAACCAGACCACCACAAGTTGTTCTCACCTGTTTGGTTCTTTGACGCGTGTTAATTAAAACGCCACGTGTGTGCGGTAGGTCCGGCGCTCAGGGAAGGGATTTTTCTTTTTTTTTCGCGTCCTCCCCACACGTCTTCTCAAGGACCTTTTGGTTTAAGCAAACATGTGCAGTGGGAAATCAAAATGCCTGAACGATCGAGACCTCGGCCAATTAATTATCTCTCACTGAGCGCCCGAGGGGTTGAAAGCACTCGGGGAACAGCCGGTCTCAAATTAACTCCCCCCTCTGGCCAGTCAGTACATACAGTATGTATACGTGTTGACTACAGTACAGCATTGAAGTCCTGAGGTTGAGCACTCTGATAGAGAAGAATCTGAATCCCTACACCGGAACGAGCTCTCGTTAGTTTTAACGAGGCAGAAATGGACCCTGAGTGAAGAGAGGGCCGTGAATACGCTGCAGTAATTGGACTTCAGTATGAATAATTTCTGATAATGTGCAGTTTCAGTCTCTATAATGTTTCTGAGCACTGATCTGTGGTGCTCATTCGTTTGCATCCATGTCAGGGAAGCCAAATTAAACACACTCACAGTCCACTGGTTTTAATGTCAGTGCCACAAAATGAAGTTTAGGAAGTTAAAAGAAGGATTCAGATGACTTTGATCAACTGAAAGAGTCTGACTGGAACTTTGACAGATTGATTTTTGCCGTTCGATGAACCTGCTGATAAGTGTTCGTTTTTTGTTCTGACAATGAGAAATTGAGATCATGGGTACGAGAGCTGGAAATGAGCTTCCTGTGAGTCTGGGTCCAGCTTTAGAGATGCAGGGTGAGGAGCTCAGAGCGGAGAACGTGCTGGAGAGATGATGTCTCCTGGCTGGCTTCTGAACGCCTCGGTCCTGCAAGAGCTGGAGGAGACAGCTGGGAATACCAGATACATGTTCAAGTTTTTAAATTCTTCATCTTTACATCTGATAGAATTCAATCCAACCTTTTTGATCGCCACATCGAGTCCAAGAGTTTTTAGTATTGTAAGAATATTCTTATTACTTTATTATAGTACCGCAGAAAATCTGTATCATCGATGAGCGATGGCTGCAAATAGCAATGAATATTTGGCTTCATCACATCGTGTGTAAAATAACACTGAAAAGCAAAATAGAATCAAAGTGATGTCGTCGAGTTTCGTGTTTCGTCCGATCAGCAAAATTCAAACATATTCAGCACAGAGTGCTGTGATGTCTTAAAAGGCACTGAGTTTATTTTCAATCATACGGGAAGATTGTGATGTGTTTTTAGTTAAAACTGCACTGATTTATAATTTGTGTTACGGCTCTGCTTTGGTATTGCCCTGCTTCATGTGCACGCATGAAAGCCAAGTGGACAGGACAGCATCAGTGACAACAGATAAACTCTTTTAAAAGAAGACGTGGGTTGCAAAGTGGCTTGCAGAGGCAGTAGTGGCTGTATGCAGGCTGAAGCAGCTTATATTTTAAGTGGACAGGTTCTTATGTAACTCTTTTCTACTCTGCTTGAGCACTCAAAGCATTTTATACAACACGTATCCTTCACCCAGTTTCACATATTTGCACAAGCACTTTTTTCTACGTCTAAATGTTTTTCGAACGTTCACGCTCTGAACGCTGCTGGAGTAACTCTGGGTTCAGGAAGCCTGCTCTACATGCGATGCTCTATATGACAAAGTGCATCATCTGATCCGTCAGTGCGTCAGTGTTGACAGAAGATAGTTTTAGCAGGCTTTGTTTAAATCCTCTGAATCCTGACTGCGTTGTTGTTTCCAGGATGGCCTCAGTAAGTCGGACATGGAGAAGCTCACCTTCTACGCCGTGTCGGCTCCAGAGAAACTGGACAGGATTGGAGCTTACCTGGCCGAGAAGCTGAGCAGAGACGTGGTGCGACACCGCTACGGGTGAGTGGTGTTTGACTTGTTAAGTCCCAAGCACCAGATAAATGTGTTTTATCCCGGAAAACCCTTCATCACCTCAAACAGCAAATGCTGTTAGCTTCAATTCATGATGCAGATTCAGTGAGATAGCAGGAGGAGAATAAGCTGCACAGTTCCTGTGAAACAGTGAGCTGCAAATGAATTTGCCAAAAAAATACTGGAAATCTGGAAATGACAAGAGAAAAAATTCTGAGGGAAAAATACCTGAGAATGTAGTGCGACGTAGCAAAGACACGTAAGGATGCTGAAAAACAGGATGAAAGCAGTCGCAGTCAGCCCGAGGTTCAGAAATACTAGGTGACATTTAAAAACAGAACGTGAAGGAGACTGTCCAGCCACCTGTCATTAAAACTCATCAGAAGAAGTGCAGTGACATTAAAAGTCTCGTCCACTCCCATTTCTGCTCTGGAAAGTAATTAAAATGAGCTGAGAGACGGAACAAAGAACCTCCCTGAAGTATTTCTGAAAGAAGACTGTCAGCACTGAATCGATACAACCATTATAATGTCAGACTTTCTGTCTGAATGGGCTCTGATGTTGTTTCCCTGAGGATGACGGTCAGAGAGTAGACGCGTCTACCTTCTGCACGGCATCCACGCACCCTTACCGGACCGCTCATCACCCAGCAAGGCGACATGTTTGCATGCTCGGGTCTGTAACGCCAGCCTTCTCCTTCCAGGTGGAGCTGCTGTAAAGTTACATCATGCAATAATGTGCTCAGTGCACAGACACTTTCAACCCGACAGTGACCCACTCTTTTTGTGTATTTTGATCGAAACACATCTGCTGCACCGTCCTCTGTTCAGAACCAATCTCTCGTCTCCACCCTTTGCTGCTTCTGTTTTTAAATAGAGAAGAGCCTCAAAAAACTGTTCAGTTAGCACATTAGGAGGTAGTGGGTTAGGCAAGGTCTGGGTGTCTCTGCTTAGACCTCTCCCCCTATGACATACATCCGGAGTAGTGTTTCTGTAAACTTGCAGGTGTTGAAAAGCTCCTGTGTCATGAGTGTAAAGCTTATTGCTGTGTGCAGGAATGTGGTGATAGCCATGGAGGCTCTGGACCAGCTGCTGATGGCGTGTCACTCTCAGAGCATCAAACCCTTCGTGGAGAGTTTCCTGCACATGGTGGCCAAGCTGCTGGAGTCTAGAGAGCCAGACCTGCAGGTGCTGGGAACCAACTCGGTAAGACGAAAACACAGAAACACACACTCGAAGCCTTTTTTCTAGATGAAGGGAAAGGAGGAGAGCATGCAGAAATGTGTTGATAAAGACACTGTGAACTGTAACCTTAGTGAAGCCAATTGGTACAGCAGGTAATCCAGACTAATCTGTGGATTATGTAAAAGATGAATGTGTACAGATTTCCCTTAAATGAATGCTTTACAGCATCGGAAACCAAAACATCGTTTCTCAGAGAACTTTGCTTCCACTTGCACTTTCTTTCACTCTTTTAAAAAAACGCCTCCCAGGTGTTGTGCTCTGTCCACATTCCACAAAGAAGAAGCGTTAGCATGTCAGGTGACGCACAGCCTGTTTTGCATAGATAGGACAGTTGGTGTGCCTTCATCATGCATGCCAGCAGCATTTGAAGCTGCCGACGCTGCAGATGTTGGCTGGACAGAACTTCCCTTCACACGCTGTAAACTGCGTGCAATAAAAAGCTTCTGCTCTTCTCACTTTGAGCTTGATTATACTTTTAATCTCAGGCGGATACTCTCTTAGCAGCAACCAGGATTTTATTGTTGACTCTGCTTTATTCATACTTCGTATGTTTCCCATCACAGACTAACCCACAATCCTCCAGATTAAAGCCACAACAACGTTTTTGACACACACAAAAAAATAAGGTCATAAATCAAAGCAGGTCAAATACGTCAGTGGTTGATGTCGGCACTTTAATAGCTCATTTCACTTCTCCTCTCACAGAGGAAATTGTCGTGTAACACATCCCGTGAAAGACTCTAATTATTATTAGCTTCTAAGCCGCCAGCAAATGTCAGCCCCGTTTCTCCTTCTGTTTCTTCTGAAGGTGAACCCGAAGTTTTTCCTTCATGCCGCCTCCTGTTCTGAGCCTGTCTGTCTTCATCCGAGCAGGAAACCGAGCCCAAGGTTTAGATGTGAAAGCCTTTGCATTATTTATGTGTGGTATTTAGACTGACAGAAGAGAAGAGCAGTTAGCTGAATCGGGGGGCTGGAAGGTGCTCGCCCTCTTTAGGTGAGAGCCGTGTTAATTAAATTTTCCTTTACGGCGCCGGCTCCAAACGGAGACGTTTTGTTTAATGACTCCGTTTGGTTTTGTGGCGCAGCTGAGCAAAACGGAGCTCCTTTGTTTGCTCTGTTGCCTAATTATCAGTTTAATGAGTTTGTTTGAGACGTCTGCAGAAAAGCACCAACACAGAGAGCTCAGCAAATTACAGCAATTTGGTCAAAAGACTGTTTGAAACCAGCTGGCCGGCCTCAGCGGAGCCTCAGCGGTGTCTAATTACTTTTAAACGTCACACTTTTAGTGCTTGTTGTTGCTGCTCAGCAACAAAACAGCTTTACAGTAGCTAAAGAACTTCATATCCTTCATGATACAAGCAAACAGGAGGTTAACTCCTAGAGTCCTAGAGGTGCTTATGTTGAATGTCTGTGTTTTAAAGCATCAAAATAAACTGCTATGAATTTTTGTCCATGACACAGAGTCATCGTGTTGAAGAGCAGAAGCTGAAGTAATTCTTCTACCAATTTTACCACAAAATGATGCAGTGAGTCAATCATACAAGTCATTAACGACACGTTACAATTTAAAACGCCAGGACTGGAAAAAGACGACTTCTTTAGAGGAAATGCCCCCTGGTGGTGAAAGTTAGTTACATAAGTGTCTTTAATCCTTTCCTCCATAAAGATGACGTTTGACAACCTCTCCTGTTCCCGCAACCTGGTGAACCAAACATCTGGTTCCACGTGTTGCCAGGTCTGTTGTTTAAATACAGACATCTGTGGTATCCACACAAACATCAGAATCTCAGCTCAAAACTCACAAAAATCATTTCTCCGACCGCAAAACAGAACAAAAAACAATTATAAGGCAGGTAACGATGTAAACACAAACGCATTCTATCTTCCAAAACTTAACAGCGAGACAACTGTGAACAACTCAACACCCCAGAGTGCTTCAAGAGCAGCTTCCCATCGGACATCGACATTTTCTGGTGCCAAATTACAAAATGTCTTGCTATGTCTGTACTACAACCTCTGTAACTTTGCAGATGTTGATTCATTCCACATGTTGATTTGTGGTTTTCTGCAGTTTTTGGTCAATTGCAGCATATTTTCAAAGTACAAAAAGAAAAGAAAAGAATCTTTCTGTTCCATACTCAGTTACTGTGACACAGTGGCATCTATTGTGATGCTTGTTTACCTTCATACTTCATACTCTTCATACCAAGATGGTTTACATGGAGTTTGTGATCACAGAGAAACACTCAGTTCATGTTGGGCGCATCATTCTCGAGCAGGAACCACAGAAAGAGAGTTTTAATGAGTAGTTTGGACATGTCACTTTATAGCTCAATAAAGACGCGGTTTGACGACCATTGGAACAGATTCCAGGTTTTTCCAGGTGTAGCCCGAGTAAGTTGTATAGGCAGAGATCATCCACATTAACTTGTGACGTCATCTTATTCTAGAAACACGCCTGAAATATAACAGAAATTGCTCAGTTCAGAAAAGAGAAACAGGGATTTCCTCTAGTAGGCATCCAAGGGGCAAAGGGTTAGATTTAAAGATAAAAGACGGGCGGGGATGATATCATATCAAAATAGATGGAGTGTTAGCTGCAGACCTCAGTTTTTTTCAAAGCCCCTCAAAAGCCAGCAAAACTGTTACTCTTACAAAACTTTGGACTTTGGGAAAAAAAACTTGGAAAAGTAGTGAAGTTGGGCTCGTTGATACAATGACGACGACGGGAAGGAAGGCCGAAAATGGACCAAACTTCAGTCCAGACTATGTCTGAGATGATCCATCAACAGCTCGAGGTTGGTCACTGCTGTGTGATTTGGTTTAATCATTATGAAAAAAAATCCCACATCCGCACTGAAACCTTAGTGGGCACAAAAGCGTTTCTTCAACGAATCATTCAAATATCGGTCTTCGGGAGCTCAGGGCTGTTTTTAAAACCTTGTGTTAAAACAAGCTGGAGAAGCAAAGAATGATGACTGAGTAGCTTTTAAGGAACAGTCCATTTTAGCTCCTCCCCCTTAGCTCTCCCTTGTAAACTGAAGGTGGGTGGGGCGTCCGTGCCTGATTGGCATATTAGGAATATCCACTCTTTATGACATCATGCAGAGCCAACAGTAGAAAAAAAAGTTGACCTTGTACTTTTGTACAAACGTGGGCCTCTTTATCTTCTGCTGTCTAATGTGAGCATTCAGCACTTGGCGAGGACATGTTTGTCAGACAATGAGGGAAAGCCCAATAAGTCCATTGCAAGTTAACTTTGGAAACATTCGGTTGACTAACGAGCCAAAACAAACCATCGTGGGGGGAGGTAGGTCATAAATCATCCTGTATATAAATAATACCAAAAAAGTTCCAATCAGTCTAACAGTGACATTTTCATTAAACCAAACAACATTTGTCACCTTTAATGTAATCATTTTCCTCCTACAGCCCCACTGGCTTTCCTATTTCTTACCGTGCCCAGTATAAATGTGTGTGACCGCTGTGTTCTGCTGCTGTCTGGCTGCCAGCCGTTCACGCTTTACAAATTCATCTCCCAGTTAACTTTATCACAAGAAATTGGCAAACTGTGACGGCTCGAAGTGGCGCTTCCTTCACTCCATCTCAATGGAAGAGGCGCTCATCAGTCCAGACTCAGACACCGAGTCAGACACACAGGGGAGTCCATGTGTCTGCGATCTATAACCTGTGGAGCCAGATGTGAGATAGATGCAGTCTACAGCTTTATCCCAAAACCCAATTTTCCATGTTTAGATTTGTGTACAGTTTATGGATAGCAGAAAGTTTTGGTCAAGTTCAAAAACTATGTAGGAATAAGATTATTTTTATTTTCATTTCTCCAAAGTTTGAAGCATTTTGACACCTTGATACCTCCGAGACGCTCCGTAATCAGAGTCAACGTCTCTGGTTTATCGAATTCCATCTGTTGCTTTTCACTGCGGCCTTTGTTGTCCTTCTCCTCTTGTGATTTCACACGTTGCAACCACTTCGCAGATGGCCAGAGAAGTATGAGCTCCGCTTCTAACAGACGAGCCTTCGTTAGTCAACAGTACAGCCTTTGTTTCTTCCTCTGTCGGAGCCTTTAAGTGAAGCTCAGACCCCAATTTGGGAAAAAAACCAACAGATTTACAAAAGTTAGATTTGGAAAAAAAAAAGATATTTTTTAGCAGATTAAAAAAAAATTGCACATCATGCAACATGATGGGTGTAAAATACAGAAAAGTAACTTTACAGTGCAAATAACATCAAAATAAACATTTTAACGTTCAGTAACCGCCAGCTGATCGCACGGTGAACTCGATTTTTGATGAGTAAACCCCCTGTCCAACAGTTACCGGGGCAAGGAGTTCTCCATCATCATCATCATCATCAGCTGAGTCAGGGCTCAGGAGGAAGCAGCCAGTTATGAATCTGTCTACAGCTCAAGACGTTCCCCCAAGTTGTCGTAAACTTCCTGTGAACTTTCTCGCGGGAATGATGCCGAAATGTCACGTTTGATGAGGTTACAGGAAATTGAATGCTATCAGGAAGTACAACACCTGTAAACTGCTTCAGGCGCACGATACATGAAAATGAGTCAGCCCTGTTATTACAGGTTATCATCACTTATAATCAGAGCCGCTGCCAAAGGGAATACACGCTAATAATTAGTTTAAGCTTCAGTATTCCACTTCCTGGCTTGAGTCGGCAAACATTCAGCCTCCTCCCACTCAGACTGTCAAGCTGACACTCCAGCAGGTTCACCAGTGAACTCTCAGCCCAGGCAATACATCGTCCCGATGACTAAATGTCAGACTTATGCACTAATGAATTAAAGACCCTAAAATCAGACGAGAGGCATCTCAAAACAGCACATATTCAACAAAACGTGGAGCATTTTTAATGCCACAAAGGACTTCAGACTCCTTTCTGTGAAGTTTGAGCTTGTCTGAGAGTTCTGTCATGGTTTTACAACAATGCAGTGTGCATAGTGTGTGGATATTAGAGAGTATACCCAAACTAAAGCCCTTCAGGATGTCTTTGTGTGACGTGCAAATTCAAGTTGTGACCAAAGCTTCTCCTTCTACCTCCTAAACACGACTGTAATTGGTCTGTAAGTGCCTACAGCTTGAATTTGTTCTTCTGCAGCAGCACAGCAGTACAGTACCGTAATCTGCTGAGGGGAAGCCACTCTCCTGTGCACCAGCTGCCGGCATAGCTCCTTCCATCTGAGCCATTACCCCCAGGAGAGGTTAGGTACAAAATGGGAGGAAATTACCGGTAGAACGGAGTGGTTTTTGCCACTGACGCTGAACTGTGCTGACGCAATTTGTCGTAGTGGACAATGACAGGTTGGTGAGAGAGGCTCCTCGAGCGCAGCCGACTGAGCCGGGAGGAGGAGGCCTCTCTGGAGGACACTCGAGGCTCGTTTGGAGGGAGAAGATTACAGGCTGGGCCGGGTGGGGGAGGTGGTTCTAATAGTTATTGTCATTGTCACACTGGCTCCAAAATTAATTAGTGTGCAGGAATGTGACGGTGCTTTGGCTCACAGGAAATGCTCTGACATGTTATCAGTGTTGTGATCGAGGGATTTTTTTTGTCTTTGTATCTGTTGTTGAGGTGAAAGGACTTCAGGTTCCTGCATAAATGGACAATATATAAAACATGGCTGTCCTGCATTGGTTAGCAAAGCCTGTACCTGAGTGTTTTTACGGTTGACAGGTTGGTGTTTTGAAACTGGATTAGATGGGCGTGGACTCATCAGCTGACGTGTGATTGGCTGATAATCTGTTAGACAAAAATTTATTTAATGTTGTTTAAAGTAAGAAACAACAGCTCGAGACTGTGAATTAATCAGGAAGTACTTACTGAGGTCACAGGGCCATTTCCCCCACAGAGTTATTTAATTGTCTTTTTGCAAGCAGAGGAGGCTTCACTTTACAGGCCTGGAAGCTTTTTGAGAATATTTTTTTACTCTAATGTGGACGCCTCGAGGAGTGCACCATTCACTAATTCTAATTATTATTATTTATTAATAGTACAGTTACTACTTTTCAGAATTTCACAGAGCCTGTGTTCACTGTGTTCACACAGAAAATTCAGGCTGATGAATGTTTGCTGATTCTTCCTCTGCTCTCTGCAGTTCGTGAAGTTTGCCAACATCGAGGAGGACACACCTTCCTACCATCGCCGCTACGATTTCTTTGTCTCTCAGTTCAGCGCCATGTGCCACTCTACTCACGAAGACCAAGAGACCAGAACCAGGTACAGTCCAAACTCAGACATTTCAAACAGACCCTCTAATGACAAGTATACTATATTTATATTTCAGGGTTTTTTCATCTTGAAAAACCTGAATAAATTAATATTAATTAATTTAATAATAATTAATTTTTTAAGCATTAAACTACACAAAATGCTGGATTAAGCAACAATATACAGGTTAAAACTTCTATATGGAAACAAACTGAAATCTCTTTTAGAAAAATTGTCACAAGGTTCAGTGAACATTTCAAAAAGTAGAGTTTTCTCATGGTTCAGGATTTACCCACAAAAACTGACTGCTACACAATATCAGGACATCCTCTAACTTTTTAGCAGGTTTTAATTTTGTTTGTCCTCATGATTTTGTTTTTATCTTCCTTTTAGTTTTATATCTTATGTGAAGTACTTTGTACTTTTTTCTGTGATAATGTGTTTTAGCTCTTTCTTTTTGACAGTGATAATGGGCTGGTTTAACTTTTCTGACCCTCTGCCATCAGCTTTTAGATTTATTTCATCTTCCCTTCACAGCATTGTTCGTGGAGTCCCACAGGGTTCAATTTTGGGCCTCCAGTTGTTCTTCAAAAACATGCATGCATTAGAAAAAAATGGTTTAACTACTACAACTATAACAAATGTGATATAAAATTCCTTGTTTTCACCATGCATGGTGTGTGTGTTCATGTTTTAAGCTCTAATGGAGCCCAAAGGTTTGAGGAATTGCAGTTTTTTGCTTCCCGTGACTTCATTTTTCAACCCTGGAGGTTTCTCCTGGTTACTCCAAGTCATCAGGAAATGTTAATGACCCAGATTTATGTTTAACCAGATATTATTATAAGAACTTGTCGAAAAAGACGACCAGAGGACTCGAGTAAGGCTGCTGTTTATACCAAGAAGAACAAACACATTCATTATGTCACGTTCTTTCTCTTTATTCTCACATCACATTTTAAAGACCTCCACAATAGTGCTGGGCGATATGACGATATATATCGTGTGGACGATAGAAAAGTGTCTATCGTGCCATTTGTCTTCTATCCAGACTGGCCAACAGCCTGTATCCACAGGCTGTGAGGCTCCTGAACTCTCTGCCCCCCTCTCACGGACAATAACCATATCCAACTTCTTAATAGCAATGAACTGGTCTGCATTGGTGCATCATATCTTTATTCTCTTCCCCCTCCTGCCCCCCCCCCCCTCTTTCTTAAATAGATAACTATCATATCTGATATCATATCTCACAGTACAATAATATTGAATGGGTTGCATTGTTGTATTTTGTCATGTTTCTCAGGTCTTTGTCTGAATTTCTACGAACATTATTGCTAAGGATTGTCTTATTGCATTGGAGTCACACTGGGTTAAATATGTACACTTGGGTTTTAAGGGGTATTTATTATTTTCTTCTTTTTTTTTGGGTTGTATGGAAGCCCCAAACACAATTTCATTGTTCTTGACAATGACAATAAATAAATAAATACCAAATACCAAATATCGTTTCTAACCTAACTTTATAAATTATTACATAAAATATATAATTAACCCTTTACAACCGGTCGGAGCAGGCGCACTCCGTTTTACCTAACTGTTTTTAAATCCCCGTAGAACTGGAACCACGTAAGCTAGCGCAATATTTTTTTTTATGCATGTGAAACCATTGGAGTTGTACTTACATCTAATGCTATTAGCTTTCCCTAGGTCACGGTTTCCTTCCACATATAGCTTTGCAAAAATTGCAAGAAGTGCAAGAAGCACTTAAATCAACAAAAAGATAATATTCCAGAAACACACTTTGCCGATGTTCAATAACACTTCCTACGTTGGCATATACGCCAGCGTGAACTATCGCATGTCCGCCATTACCTGCCCGAAACCGGAAGTGACGTCATTTTCGCGAAAGGGCCTTATAAGCCTATGTTGTTTTTTTGTTTTTTTTTTAAAAAGTCATGTTTGACTTGGAAATGGTTTGTTTTGATGCATTATAATATTTTCATTTTTCCTGTAGTATATAAAAATTAGTGTATCTCAAAAATAAAACTATGAAGACACTCAAAATAAATTTCTCGTGGTTGGAAATTATTTTGTGCAACCTTTTTTACAGTTTTGACGGATAAACCTCTTAAATCTTTCTTACTAGAAATATATGTAAAAAACCCAAAATGTTTTTCAATTTTTTTGTAGTTTATTGCACTACAATTGTTTGCAATTTATGTAGTTACTATGGACTTAATGCATACATATATTAAAATTTGGGCTATAACAGTTGTATTGATATATGGAAACTTGAAATGCTCCCACAAATGGCACTACAGCATGTAAAAACATAAAGATAAGCTCTAGCGGACTTGGTTCTATGGTAGGTCTTAATAAAGGGTTAAATAGCCTGTGGCAAATATATTAGTGTTGTCTTCTCACTATACATGCTCTTAACTTTATGCAAGAGAAAATAAAGTATAAAAAAATGATATTTTTCGCAAAGAAACTCCGTCTTGTGGTTTGCTAGCTGGTGCTGCTGTACGTGCACCCAGATTTGCGACATGCTTTACGGTAACTCAAAACAAAGACTGCACCCTCGGCACTTGCTGTTTACAGACTGCGTACTTTCTAGATGACCACAGGTCAGGTGGTATATTGTGATATAAAATAATTCATATCGTGATAAATATTTTTTCCATATCGCCCAGCACTACTCCACAACTCAACTGTTGTTTGTTGCACTCAGGAGAGGCTGAATAATCCTAAATTTAAAATATAACCATTGATTCTCAATCAAAGTTATAATTTTACTCCCCTGGAGCAGTCTGAGTTAGTGATTGGTTTCCTTTTTGTGTTCAGGCCGATTCACTCGAAGCTGCTTTTTTGGACCAAATTAAAATCTGGAAGCAGCGAGCTTTACTTCTAAACTCTGGGCTTCATGCCGCAACATCATTTTGGAGTATTATGAAGACATGTCATGGTGCTCCTCCACCGCTGAAAATTTCATGAACGACCTCTTTCAAGCCAGCGAGGAAACATGGTTCAGCCAAAAGAGGGGCGGAAATAAAATCCCCACCAGGGCCGCCCTCACCCCCACTAGAATCCAGTGAATAAAGAATTAGAAATACGTCTGACTGATTTAGATTTTCGGGCCTTCTTCTGAGAGGGCGGGGCTTGGTAACACCACCACAGGAAAGCATTGCTCCACCGGCCAGGTTGAAATATAAGGATCTGAAATGATGATGATGGAATGATGTGTTGGGAAGGCTCTGCATAAATGAGGCTACAGAGAAAGGAGCGTACCTGCCTGCATTGCTTCCAGCATCAGGAGCTCATTCTTCCCTCCACAGCAACAACTTCACTCACAGTAATGAGAGAATACAGCAGGATACTGATTTGTCCCGTTTGGCTTTTAGCCGTCTTTAATCTTTAACGTGGATTTAATATTCTTTTATCTTTCAGAAACGTTTTTATTGTGTAATAAAGCAGAAATCACAGGGATGTTTATGAGGCCTTTAAATGAGTAATATTTTATGGCAGCATCACTAAAAACAACAAAAATAACTTTGCTTGAACCTGACAGGTGGTAGTCTGACAGTTTATTCCTCAGATTATATCTCGACACCTAAAGCTCCCTCAGTTATTTGCTGGTGAAGGTGTTATGTAGGAAACATTAGCAGTTTTATTAGGTGATGATTTGTTGAAACAAAGATGCAGCACCGAGAGGAAAATGGCTGGTTGAGAGTAATCACTCACAGTCAGCAGTCTTTTGAGACGAGAGAAGAATATATAATGTTGCAAGCCCACAGGATTTGGAGCTGAGGAGAATAATAAACAGTCGAGCAAGCCGCGTGCAGTTCAGAAATATAAAGTCTTAAAAGAAACAAGCAGGAGCTGCAAGTAGGGAGAAAAAAGTCAACGCCGATCCACAGACTGTATATAAAAGACAGATGTAGTCCACGTGATGTTGCTCTGTGTTTTACGACGTCTCGCTGTGAAGCCTCAAGCTGAGTCTTTTTGTGCCTTTGAAAAGGGGATCTGACAAGTAAGGCTTACGTAAGCTTACGATGTAGCTAATGCAAAAACTTAAAGCTGCACTCTTTCCAATGACTCTAATAAAAATACTGCAGTGCAGATTCAGGCCGACACCTTCCAAACTAGCAAGGTGTAAAGACTTTGATGGACCACAAAACATAAAAGAATATAAATACAATAAACGCAAACAAAAAGAAAAACATTTCTGATTAAAACATGAAAGAACTCTACTCCACCAACCTAAGAAACGAAGCTAATTTCTTAGTTTCAGGTTGAGGGAAGGATTACATCCGTTTTCAGACGCTATCCGGGTCCAGGTCATGTGGGCAGCAGTCTTGCCTGAGATGCCCAGCATTGGAAATGCCTGAAACACCTCAGCTACGAGGTGTCCAGGAGGCGTCCTGGTTAGATGCTCAGTCTCAGGAGCTCTACTCTGAGTTCTTCCTGAATGACAGAGCTCCTCAGCCCCGTCTTTAAGGGAGAGCGCAGGCACCCTTGTGAGGAAGTCCTTTTCCATCACTTGTATGTTCGATCTCACTACACAGAGCTCATTGTTCATTGGTGAGGATAGGAATGTCATACCATGAATTGGGGGCTTGTCCGGGATTTGAACCCGGGACCTCTCACACCCCTAGCTAGAATCACAGCCCTAGACTTTACCACAATAGAAGGTAAAACATCCACATTACTCTCTCCATCAGTGTCCCGCTGTGTCCTCGCCTCATTCATGAACACGACGCAGAGATTTACATTTTAAAAAGAGGCAGACGTCAGGCACTCGCATTTTTACTGTGAAACTGAGAAACTGTCTGCTTGCGATCTTTATTGTAAGTAGGGTAAAAAATAACTGGTTTGGCAGCGGCGGTGAGGTTGTGACACCACACAGCACGTTAGAAGATGCTTTCCCCGCCGGGGCGCTCGCCCTCTGCATTAAAACAATACCTGGAGACTTCTGTCTCATTCACTGTGAAGATAACTTCCCTCCTCCAGAGTTTCTGAAATCTCACTGCAGCAGCTGAGACCTCTCCGAGCGACGAGGTGTCTGCACGTATTCGTGCATAAAAAGCCTCTTTTATCTCCATTTGTATGTATGAGGGTGTGTGCGTGCTGCAGGTTGGTTGAGGGTGGGTGGTGCGGTGAGAGCCAGGGGATGCTGGGATTGTTTTTGAGTGCGCTCTATACCTCGCCGCCACCGCTGAGCTATAAACTGTTTGATTTCTGACGTTGCTTCTTTTTTTTTTCCTCAGTGTTTTATTATTCCACTCAGCAGTGTCGGCTGTAGGTGGAGAGGAATTCCCAAATAGGATTTCTGTGGCAGTGATTAGATTAGCTCTCAGGCGAGGTCATCAGTGCTGTTCTTTGTGTTATTGCTCATGGAGTTATCCGTGTCCAAAAACGAAATAGTAAAAGGTGAAGTCGGCCTCACTTTGCTCCTGAACATTTCTGCTGTGCAGGCTGCTGAACCTCTTCTCAGGCGGAAAATTAGATTAAATCAAAGGTTTGGATGTTTTTCCTCTGAAGTGAGATAAGATTTGGAATTTGAGGGAAGAACTTGGAAGGTTAGTCTTTAGTAGTGAGTTATTTGAGAGACGTTTTCAGATTAAAAGCACCGTGATGTTGTCTGGTAGCTGTTTGTCCATGACCAGGTAAAACTGACTTCACTGGGGACACTGATGCTGGTGTTCCAGCAGTTTCCAGGTTACGTTAGCCTTAAGCCTTTTTAGTTCCTGGGTTGTTCCTGAACATCCTAACCAAATTCCTCTCGCCTGAGGGTGACAGTTTGCCCACATCTGGAAGCAGACCCAAAGTGGTGACATATGTGAATATTTATGTGCGGTCATTTAAATGGATGGCCTTTTAATCCTCAGTTATTCAGAAATATCTCCCAGAGACCCTCCCAGTCTGTGTAAATCTACAAGGAGTTCCTCAGATTTTCCCGTTGTTCACAGTGTTGGTCAGTCCAGTGAGTGCTGTCGAATCTTGTTTATGCTGCAAAGAGAAACTAGCACCTGTAGTCGATCATGAACACTAACGGGAAGCTAATAGGCCTTGGCCTTTTCAAGTTAAAAGATATAATTTCAGTACCACTTATAAAAAGCTGTGTATATATTTGACCCTGTGTGGGTTCGAGAAAATGAATTAAGTTGTGCACCCAGATTTGTTTTCATAGTCTTTAATGGTTTGTGCTGTTAAAATCCCAAAATGACCATGACATTCATGCCTGTGATGAGTGATGTAAACTTCTGTCCACAGCTGGATGTGTGCCTTGTTCTTCCTCTGAGTCTCTCTAATCTCTGCCGTCAGGATCCGTGTGGCCGGGATCAAAGGTCTGCAGGGCGTGGTGAGGAAGACGGTGAACGACGAGCTGCAGGCCATCATCTGGGAGCCGCAGCACATGGACAAACTGATCCCATCCATGCTGTTCAACATGCAGGACAGTGAAGACCTGGACAGGTACGACACACGCCAAAGCTGCCACGCGCTCGCCTCAAACCGAAATCTCCCTGCCGTGCGTTGTTTTCCCGTGACTCATTATTCTCTGCCCTGAATATGGAACTGGAGCGATGGCAGTCTCTCAGGCAAATGTTTGATTTTCTGAAGTGAGAGCTGTTCTCTTTCAGAGGTGACCTTTTTTTAATGGGCCACACAGTAATGCACAAAAACTGCCAATCAATTATACATGCTGAGCTGCTGCTTTTCTCTCCAGGCAATCAGCAAAGTAAACTAGTTTTCCTGCAGCATCAAACTTTTCTGCACACGCGGGAATGAGTGTTATTGTTGTGCGGCCAGCTCTCATATCCCACAATTCAGCTGTCACCTTCACCAAAAAGTCTCCAATCAGACAGGATCTGCAAATCATGGGGAATGATTGAGGCCTCAGAGGTTTGAAGGCGCAGTGCGTCATAGCTGCAGGGCTCTCTCTTAATGATAGGGTGAGACGTTTGGGAAGGACTTGCAATAGAGTCGACACTCCTGCAGTGGAAGAAGCAAGATGAGGTGGTTCGGGCATCCACCTCCTGGGTGGGTGTTCCAGGAGGAGGCCCTGGGTTAGACCCAGTTAGGCTGTCCACTGTTAACTGAGAGGTTGAAGGATAATCAGGGCTTTTTTACTGCTTTGAATAAAGCACAGGTTCAAAACTTTGGCACAAGCTTACAGACAAATAAATGCAGTGATCAGGAGCAGTTTGTTCCAGCTCAGCAGTCGCCAATCTAACAAAAACCTTCTCATCTGGAAAGGATGATGCATTCCTTAATTACATCTAAACTGGACGACTTCACTCCTGTGTTTGCAGCCTTGCACTGTTACAGAATCCAGTTTAAAGCGGCGCCGTTTGTGTTTAAAGCCGGTCTCTCACCTGCATGTGTGGTAGATACGGCGTGTCCACATATTCCCTCAATATCATTAAGGTCTGAATGTCCGTCAGTCGTCATCATCTTTGCTGTTGCCCCGCCTCTCTGGAATGACCTAAACAACCTCAGACGAACAACCTCAGCGACTGTTTCCAAATCTAAGCGTTTGGAAGCGGCTGATTTCTGTGAAGGTGTGTACCGTCAGTTTTTTAGGAACAGGTTTATTCTGTTTTAGTGTAGCGCACTTTGGTTTTAAACGTTCTGTAGAAATCAAGTTTGCTTACTTGGCTCTCTCGACTGGGAATGCCCACGTGCCCCCACGGGTGAGCTGGGAAGAAGGAGGCCTGTGTATCTCTGATGAGGATGCTGCCCATGACCCTGCAGACAAGTCATTAGCTTTAAACTGGACTAAAAGTGGTGTTAAATGGTAAATGGACTGATTCTTATATAGCGCTTTTCTAGTGTTAGACTTCAGCTCTAGACTAATCCACAGGATTTCTGATAGGTCTGGTTGCTTATCATTCAGTTGCCATCTTTTCCTCGTACATGTGTGCTTGAGGTGTTGATCCACCTCATCCTCTGTTCACATCCTGCTGCTGTCTGCTGTGATCCTCGGGATGATTTTAAGCTGTCAAATCCACTCTGAGAAACAGCTGGACGACAACATTCGACAACACAGACTCCATCAAACCCGGCCAACACATGAAGCATGTCGTAGCCATGTCAGGATTAAAGCGGCAGCGTCACCGTTTTTTACACGAGCTGTATCTGACACTATGCTTCCTGCTTTCTTTAGAGTTTAGAGAGGCTCATATTGAATCGGAGGGACAAACTGGTTTACGCCACAATTTTTGTTTCTCTAAGAAAACCGACGATACAGCTGTTTTTCATCTGCAAAGTGGGAGGAGCTAATTCAGGCTCTCCTGTTTGCAGCATTAGAGACTCCTGTAGAAAATTATCGTGTGACTCTGGAGCTGATACAAGCAACAGAGATTCACAGACTCCAGATTCAATAATCAGTTGATAATTTTTGGTTCTGTGATATTTAAGATTCTGCCGCTTTCACACTGAGTGTTAATATTTATGCTTCATAGCAGTTTAACACAGCTCATTGTTCTGTCCGCGATACAGAGAATTTAATCATAAAATAAAATAAAAACAGCTAAAATATTAAATGATCTTCTCTCAGATTGGATTAACTAGACTCAAAGTATTTGTCTCACGGCTGCAGAACTGATCCTTAGTGTCACATTGTTATTGCTGCTGTTTGTAGTCCAAGTTAACAGGTGTCATCATCTGTCAACATCTGCCTTGTTGGTGTTAATGAAGCTTTCAAAGAAACTCTAGTCGGACTTATCTTTAATCAAATGAGTCTGTCTCCAGGTTAAAGCACGTCTCTGTAAAAGTAAAGTTTTTTCTGTTATTAATAATTTAACTGAAAAAAACTGACAAAAAACTGTCAAAATAAAGGAAATATAACAAAACCCAGAAAATGTTCACCAAAAAAAAGACTAAATAAAAAATAAATAAAAAACTAAATCACCAAAAACCCCACCCTCCTCTCCACAGAGCAGGAGCACGACACACACCCCGGAAACAAAGGAGCGCTCTGGTAGGCCACACCCACACAGAGTCAACGTCACAGCAGCACAGAAACCTCACAGCTGTTGCAAGGTCTGTGTTTCCCAGTAATGTTGGACCTGTTGAATAAAGTTAGTTGATGATTAATTCAATTCAGTTTTATTTACACAGCGCCAAATCACAACAACAGTCGCCTCAAGGTGCTTTATACTGTAAGGTAGAGCCTACAATAATACATGCAGAGAAAAACCCAACAAACCCCCTGTGAGCAAGCAGGCGACTGTGGAAAGGAAAAACTCCCTTCTAACAGGAATAATCAGGGAGGGGCGGGGCCATCTGCTGCGACCGGTTGAGGAGAGAGAAGGAAGACAGGATACAGACATGCTGTGGAAGAGAGACAGAGATTAATAACAAGTGTGATTCAGTGCACAGAGGTCTAATTATTAATTATATTTTCATGCCGATATTACATCCACACTCGATAGACTCCACAGCGCCCCTGGTGGCTGATAATTTTCAGAGTAGGTGTTTGAAAAAAGACTCGACTGTGTGTGACTTTCAGGTGTAATTTCAGCAGGAGACACAAAACCACCAATCATGCAGCATTAAGAAAGACAGTGTAGAGAAGCTGAAAACATGATTTATGACCTCAGTCGGTCTATTGTTGAGTTCCAGATCAGTTTTTGTACAATTCACCACCTATAATCGAACATTTTTGGCAGAACTGTCTTTTGTGGCGTGCACATGAAGATGAAAGGTCAAAATCCTGACCGTGCTTTTAATTATAACCAGCGACATTAAAACCAGTTACCAGCTCTCAGGTGTATTTGTGCCAAAAATTCACCTGAAGCTCATTAACCAGCTGAAGAATCCAAAGACGGAATAAAAAAAGACGTGTCCTTCGTTACAAAGTGACAGGCAGAGAAAAAATACTTGAGTTAGTAAATGGAGCAGCGAGGGCAGGTTTTTATGAAAGGAAACAAATCTGTGCCTGCGTGTCACCTCATCATAACTCCATTTTCCCTCCAGCTTTTATTCCTTCCTAAACATTTCTCTTATCGTATCCGAGCAGAGTCCTGGGACAGAGCAAGATTTATTGCTTTCACAGTCTTTCATTCCTGCTCTCCTCCTCAATGTATTGTTGGGTAAACGTGGAAGAGTAGCGACTCTGAACCCTCACACGAGGAGTTTGGGAAGCGGTTTTGCTTTTGCAGAAACGGTTAGCTGATGAGGTGTGTGTGCAGGTTTTATAGATCATCGTCATTAGAGGCGTAATTTGATTTGGTATTTAGTGGGAAAGGAAGCCTTCTCATCATGTTGTAATGCAAACGATACGCTGTCGTCATCTTCTGGGGCCTCATGAGTGTCGGATGGGGGCGTGCAGCACAATTTGTGTTGGATCTCAGATTGCGTTAGATTTCGGCCTTCAGTGATGTGTGAAAACTGTAATTACTCAGTTTCATATGTTGAAGGTAGGCGTGGGCAATATAACCTTAAAATTATATCAGCATGACATCATTGCATCGTTTATTCATTTAATAATGGTTTTGTAAATCATGCAAAAATATACCCAGGGTTAATATGGATGGTGTGTTATGGCGCAGTCCTAGTTGCAGGACTCCGGCTGGACTCTATCGGAGAGCCTTCATGTACTGGAAAGGTCCCGTCCGGCCATGAGCTGGGAGTGAACGCACAAGCATGAGTGCTGACAACGACGTCGACCGCTTACGTAGGTTACATCATCGCTCTACAGAGATTCAGCGCAGAAGTCTAAATCAGGCCTGAGAGTTTTTTCCACCACGCATGAACCAGTGTGACAAAGAAAGGGCTAACAAGACCCAGAGCTCCCAGTTCATGCTGTTCTCAGTACTTTAGAGTAGAGAACCCCAACGATCAAATGATCCCCGTGAAGAAGCACGTGGCAACTTCGGGGAGGAAGAACTCCCTTTTAATAGGAACACACCTCATTCAGAACAAGAGGATTTATTCAGTTTGACAGGAACTTGGACATGATAAGATTAACGTTGTAATACCAACCCAAAATATGACCGCTGGTCACGCTGAGCAACCGAAGGATCTTGGCTTGTGTTTACTTGGTTGGTGCGTTTTCTTCTTCCTGCTTTCTAACAAACTCTGCCGGTTTTCTGTGTTTCTCGCTCTTCTTTGGACCTTTGACGTCTTTAATTCTGCCCGCAGCACGTGGAGAGTCAGAATCCAAAGTAAATCCTGCTGTTGGATCTGCCGTAAATCACTCAGGATCATCAGGTTTGCCGACGGAATACAAACCTTCACCTGAACTCGAGCGGAGGAATTACCGCCTCCCACACACCTCAAACCTCATTTTATTCACTCAGCCCACAAATCCAGGCTTGTATCCAGGTGAAGGAGGAAATCCCGATGTCGTGCTGAGGAGCTTAGTTCTGCTCCTCATCCCCGGGCTGGGAGTGATGCTGTGCCTGCACTGCAAAGATCAACATGACCGAGCACAAAGCTTAATTCTGGTGTCTTTGTCTCGTTCGAAT